CCCCAAAACCCCAAAACCCCAAAACCCCAAAACCCCGAGATTCAATTTAAATATTGAGTAGCAATGTTATTAATTGTGTTCATTCCTATTTCGGTTTCACTCCAACCTTCCGAGAAGCAAGCAATTTCCTAACTTTAGGTCGTGGAGGATTCCTTCCCATCACTTCTGGAGTTCTTACAAGAGAAGCATTGCTCTTGTTGAAGTTGGGCTCTGATTGGATGATGGAACTGGCACACTCTGAGACCTGCTTGTTCTCTTCTTTAACAGGGGAAGCTTTGTGCTCTTCTGCGTGAGTTTTCATACGACCATCATTGTTGTTACTATTTCTCTGTACTTTCTTCTTTCTTACAAAAATGATGATTGTCTTGATTAGAAATACAAGTCATATGATACTTCCAATTAATGGCGATGCAGTTAGAAGCGAAGTGAAGTAGCTTTCATAGAATGGGGTCCAAGCTGCCTCTGTGTTGAGCCATGATAACGGAACTCACAAACAACAAAATAATACTTGGTTGATTCCCTCTATGATGTTGTCTTGAGGATTCTCGAATGGCCTCACAGTCAATAGATAGAGTCCATACCCAATGTTGAGCAAGTAGAAGTAAATTGCTTTCTGAGAAGACTCAGCCTCCCTTCCGATAATCAACAATGAAGATGAAGCCAACCTTGTAATCATGAATATACTGGAGTACAGTTTGGAGTGCTTGTCTGGCTTCACTCCATTGAAGTATTCAGTTCAAGGCCAGTATTTTTTACAATCAAATTCTGGAAATGACATTGCATACATGTAAAACGAAAGTATGAACAGCACGCTTGTTCCTAAAGCAAACAAGACTCAGAGTCCGAAAGATATTTGTGTCAGTGCTGTGCTCAGATTCATAGCGTAAAGTTCTGCCAATATTGACAAAGTCGTAAATGCAAAAGCCTGGATAAATATCCGAATGTAAATGTTGAACGTAAAAAATAGAAACAGTCTGTGAAAGAACTTTTTACGCTTCTGGCGTTTTGAGTTTCTTAGTGATTCATTGATAACAACAATGCACAAATGAATAATTCCAACAAGACATACAATTATCATCAATGACAAATAGTTGACGACTGAACTGCCTGACTTCATCCCTAGACTGTTCAGGTAGTCATCTGATTGAGGATAAGCCACCCACTTCGAGACTTCTTCCACAAAAGGTATGTCGTTGAGTCTGATGAAGTCAAACGACATCATTGCAAACCCCATGCCGCTCAGTAGAGCAAGCACTTTAGGCGAAAAGTACTCTGGAACCAGAGGCAGAAGTACTGCCAGCTGGAGACTGTTCATCAGGCTAAATATGGAGTTGACAGACGACAATGACAATGCTGAAGACACACCAGCCATCATGACACTTGCGCTTGCCAATGCAGCTGCAGCTTCAGCTGCTCCAGCAACAGCTGAAACTTTGGAGCAAGACTTCTGCCCATCAGAGCCCTCATAGCCAGTTTCACATGTTTCTCACAGAGTTGGTGAGCCGAGCTGGCAGGTCTCACAATTCAGTATGTTGCACTGCTCTACAGTGATCTCGAATCTTTTGTGGTGGACTTCGCTGCCAAAAGATATTTTGAGCGAGAAGTTGTAAGTCTCGGACTCAGAGAGTTGGGGAGTCTTGTTAAGATGGAGTTCTTGTGCTTCGGTGTCGATCTGGACCCACTCAGGAACTTCATTCGATCCTATTTGGGCTAAGCTGAAGGAGACCGCAGTGAAGTTGACAGCTTGGGCACAAGCCCAGGTGAAGTTTAGTTGGACAAATGAATCACTTTGTACAGATTGAACATGGTCTTGGTTCCACAAAGCCACGTGTGTTGTAAAGCTGGGACTGATAACAGATGTCACATCTGTCTCAGTGATCGAAGTGCTTGTAGATATTGTCAGCGTCCTAGGAGTTGAAGTCAAGCTCGGGTTTGAAGAAGTATCCAGCACTTGGTAATCGGTCGTGATCGGCACAAAATGAGAAACACCAACTTCGAACTCAAATAATTGATCAATGTTATTAACAGGAGATCTGCCTAAGAAGAAAGTTTTGTTTGATAGATGACCTCCAGGGAAATACATAATTTCTTGCCCTTGTATTGTCACAGGTAAGGCATTATAGAAACGAATATTAGCAGTATCATATTCTTTCAAAATCTTTGAATTATCAGAAGATATCAAAATTAGTCGAGTAGGATTTGGAGAGAAAGTATTAGTATAAATTTGAACAGCAACAAAATCACTGAATTCTTTGACAGAATGACTAGCTCTTGCTTCTGGATCGCTACATATAAAACCTGAGTTCTGAGAAGAGCCGTCAGAAGTATTTAGCTTATGGAATATGAAATTTTCTCCATACCTGATCATTGTAAAGATTGATTTTTCATCTTTGCTCAAAGTTGATGAGCTATACCTGGTAGCTCAATTTGTAACTGGGCATACAATGCTCTTCTTCCAGACTAAGTTTGGCGAATCCGAGAAGTTGTAATTGATCAAGTAATATTGGCCACCGGCTGGGTCATCGGAAGCGTAAAAGAGAAGATCGGGAGAGATAGGGACCATGTTGGAGTAAGTGATCAGGTTGAAGCTGAAGCAGTCGAGATTGGTAGTGAGAGTATCCCATCTGCAAACTTCGGTGATGGAATTTAGTTCCATTGTGAAATATAGATTAGAACTAGCAGCCATCTCGCCTTTTGATGAAAGGGTTGCTGAAGGAATAATTAACTCTCTACTTATTCTCAAAGTATCAGTATCAATTTCAAATATCTTATTTGTAGTGTAGTCCTGAATGTAAATTTTTGCATCTGTAGACATGACATAAGAGTAGTCTCAACTACTAAGACCATATGTCATTGCTTTAACTTTTCTTAAGTTATAATCAGATTGATAAATAATAGTTTCTCTTTTTCCTGAGTCCAATTTATAAAATCCAACAAAATAGAGTAAACTCTTCTGTTGATCTTCAAACACAGTAATCATATATTCATATTGTGTCTCAGGAAGCTCAAAACTTCCAGAAAGGGGTGAGCCTAATTCCCCGTATTCGTCCTTGCACACATTGGCTATGCCAACTGTGATATACAAGATGAGCATAATGGTAGTTTTCATTTTAATTTTTATTGAACTTCACAATTAATTTTCTCATAAGAGGGGTTTTGGGGTTTTGGGGTTTTGGGGTTTTGGGG